CTGGCGCTGGTCCGGACCCGGATGCAGGCTCAAGGTGGGTGTCTGCACTCGGCTGCAACAAGGAATCCATAAAGATTGATGGATGTCAGCTGGGGAACAACAGTAAAAAACAACAAGTACCGCGTGGAGATGAACCAAAAGATGTAGTGAAGCGTGAGAAAACCGAACCCTAACGTGCAAAAACTAGAAAAGAAAAGAATTAAGTGTAAATAAAAAAGCAAACAACAAAACTAATAACAGATGATCTGTTACCTTTGGTCTTTAGCCTGGTGCTGCACAACCAGTAGGCTTTGATCACCAGACCTCAGGGACCTGCTGGGGGTGTAGGGACTAAGAAGATCACCAATGTAAGATGGTGCTTGTCCATGTAAGGCCCTATAGACCAGAACCAGGATCTTGAAATGAACCCTGAAGTTGACTGGCAGCCAGTGAAGCTGGAGGAGAAGCGGGGTGATGTGGGTGTGTTTGGAGGACTTGGTCAGAAGCCGAGCACAGGCGTTCTGAACCACCTGTAGACGGTTCAGGGAGGTTCTGCTCAGACACGTGAAAAGAGAGTTACAGTAGTCTAAGCGTGAGGAGATGAAGGTGTGGAGAACTGTCTCAAGTTCAGAGCGGGACAGAATGGGACTCAGCTTAGCAACGTTCCTGAGATGGAAGAAGGAAGAGCGAACTAAAAAGATTGTGTGATTTTCCATATAAATATGAATGATCAATATTATTGATCTTTTGAAATTTGATCTAAGATGAAACCAGGTCTTTTTGTTACTTCAGGGAAATCTCACCTTCGTAATAATTACAGATAGAGGCACAAATATATTTTATAAAATCAATTTAATACTATATTTCTACTACTAGTGATGACACAGAAAAGTCCCATTAGGTGTCACACACACACTGATGTGTGTGCGAAATTTGTTCTCCGCATCTGACCCGTCCCCTGGGGGAGCGGTGAGCTGCAGACACTGCCGCGCTCGGGAACTATTTGGTGGTTTAGCCCCCCAATCCAACCCCTTAATGCTGAGTGTCAAGCAGGGAGGCATTGGGTCCCATTTTTTCGAAGTCTTTGGTCTGACCCGACCAGCAATCGAACCCTGATCTCCCGATCTCAGGGCGGACACTCTACCTCTAGTCCACTGAGCTAATTCAGTTCAAGTTTATTTAGAAAGCGCCAAATCACGACCAGAGTCGTCTCAAGGACCTTCACACAGCAAACAACACAGGTCAGGTCATTAAGCCAATCAAGTTTCCTATATAAGGAACCCAGCAGGTTGCATCGAGTCACTGACTAGTGTCAGAGTCTTTACAGCAATCCTCATACTAAGCAAGCATGCAGCGACAGTGGAGAGGAAAACTCCCTTTTAACAGGAAGAAACCTCCAGAGGATCCTGGCTCAGTATAAGCAGCACACACACACACACACACACACACTTGGGATCGGTTAACCCGTACATAATAGATGTGTCACCATTACATACAGAAACTAAATGTTAGCATTTCCAGTAGCTACTACTGAACATGCTAATGAAGGACATAACATTTTACTGACCATAGTTTCATTAAGAATGTATTTGGGTCATGTTCTGTCGTTAACGGAAAGGAAGGGGAGAAAAGATGTTTCCCTACAGTTTTCCAGATGAATCCAGTCGAGACCCATCCCATTCCTCGATGACCCAAATAATCGTTTGTCGCGCCCCTACACTGCACACAGCTAGAGGTTGTGACGATGTGCTGCTAACCGCTGGTGTCTGTCTGCAGCGTCTCAGGAAGGACCCCAGATGAGCATGACGAGTCTCTTCAGACACATCATCCGGACCGAAGGACCCACGGGACTCTACCGGGGCCTTGCCCCCAACTTCATGAAGGTCATCCCGTCCGTCAGCATCAGCTACGTCGTCTACGAGTCCCTCAAGATCAGGCTGGGGGTCCAGTCCAAGTGAGGCGGCACCGGGCACAACCAGGATAATTGGGGGGGGGCGGGTTGGACCCAAGCAGCATTTATTTGAAGCGGGTCGGTCTTTTGAACCTCCTGATCTTAATTCTCATCCGTAAAGTTTACAGAACCGTCCGCGGGTCTGTAAGGAGGAAGAGGAGTGTGTGATGAATGTCTGGTGTCCCTGCTGGAGACCGGGTTCAGGTCCAGTTCCACACTAACACCAGAACCATGGCTGAGTTTGTTTGTTTTACTTTTATCCTCAGCTGATGGAACCTCTTGGCCCCAGAACCAGAACCAGAACCCGGTTATCTGTGATGTTTGAGTTTGAAACACTTACAGAATAATTTTAGTGAGTTTGTGATCGGTACTGCTCAGACATGTTTCTGGTCCTGGCCCTGATCTTCATCCTGGTTCTGGTGAACAGGTGTGTGGGAGGAGAGGACAAACTACAGCTTGCCGTATAGGAGCTCTCCAGAACCAGAACCAGGACTGGGTCTGGAGACCCCATATCCACATCAGCAGACAGCTGAAGGCCACTGGGGGACACTCTTTGGACACGCGTGCTCTAACGGACCCAGAACCGGCCGACTGGACCTCCTTTGGAGATTATCTGGTCCTGAGCTGTTCTGGAGCCTCTGGGATGAGCTGGTCCAGCAGCATGTCTGAGCTGTAGCGCCCCCTGCTGGCTGACCCGGGTCAGTTCTGGTCCAGATCCTACAGGTGGTGTGTGTGTATGTGTGCGTGTGTGCGTGCGTGTGTGCGTGCGCTATTTATTTGGATTAAAGAACTCCTGACTGACTTATGTTTTCTTTACGCTTTAAAAGCTTCTGGTTCTGACCCAGTGCAGACGTGACCCGCCGCGGTGAGACCAGAACATTTCTTGACTGCAGCAGCTTTGGTGCCTCAGAGGTCAAAGGTCAGGCGTGAACCCAGAGCACCAGCTGGTTAAAACTTTTAATCATTTTGTAAAACCTTTTTTATATTTACGATGTTTTTGTTTGTGTGGCTTTTATCTCGAGAGGTTTTTTCTAAAAGCTCGTGTTCTGTTTCCGAAGCCGTAACGCTTACGTCTGACACAGAGGTGGGACGTAACGTAAGCAGTGCTGCATCGGTGTCGCAGCACACTGGATGGAGCCTGAAACCATAGATATATGTACATAAACATATAGTGTTTATCTATGCCTGAAACCATGGAAAGGTGCTCTGCTGCACCGGCATGCAGACAGCTCAACGCGCCGCACACACTTTCCAAGAAGACCTGACTGGAAGTGGTCGTTCAAAGCCGGAAGTCACGTCATCTTTTATCCACTATTTATTGAAACGTATTTTAAAAAGGGAAAGAGCTTCGAAGTGAGGTGAATGTTTTTCCTGTGTTCAAACTGGACCAAATGCTTCATAATTATGGCAGATGATGTTTGTTTGTTTACTTCCTAGTTTACAGAGCAAATACTGATGTAACGACCCTCAAAAAACAGTAAACAGGTGATTGGGATGTTTACAGTCAACGTCAGGGTTCATTTCAAGATCCTGGTTCTGGTCGTTAGGGCCTTACATGGACAAGCACCATCTTACATTGGTGATCTTCTTAGTCCCTACACCCCCAGCAGGTCCCTGAGGTCCAGTGACCAAAGTCTACTGGTTGTGCAGCACCAGGCTAAAGGTCAAAGGTGACAGATCATCTGCTGCTGTGGCCCCCAGACTCTGGAACTCTCTCCCCCTGAGCCTGAGATCAGTGGACTCAGTGGTCTCCTTCATAAAGCAGCTGAAGACTCACTTGTTCAAGCTGGCTTTTGTATGACCTTCTTCACCTCTCTCTTTATTCTGCTCTCCCCACCTATTCCACCTTCCTCAGGATCCACTGATTTCCCTCTTTCCTGTTCACTCTCTCTCTTTCTTAACATTTTTTCTTTTAAATTGCAACAGCCTATTTTTGCTCATTTTAAATATGTTTTTAAACATTTTCTAAACGCTTTTTTATATTTTTACATTTTTTTTTGTTTTTGTGAAGCGCCTCGTGATTTTTTATCTTGAGAGGCGCTATAGAAATGATATTTTCTTCTTCTTGATAATTATGGCAGAATAAAAATGGTCAGGAGTAGACGTGGAGATTATTCCAACATCAACATGTGAAACTAACCCTGGTGTACCTGCTACTGGTACCAGTCAGTTATGGCTATAGATTGTACAATATAATATACAGCTGTGATAAAAATGTCAAAAATAATATTGTTGGAGCATTAAAACAAGCACGATATACTTGTTTTCTATTGACTGGCAGCCATAGTCAGGGTTAGCTCCAACCAGGCAGGTCAGATATAATCTGTTTATGACTTTACTGGAATTACAGCCTCGTTGTTTCTGTGTGTGAGAGGATTACCCCACCGTGGGATTAATAATCCGTTCATAAACTAAAGCCTAAAAACACCACGAGTGGATTTATTCAGTGAGTGATGACGTTTACTAACCACGTGAACGTCTAATTCCACTGTTTACGTATCCCAGTGTGTTTATAAAGTTCTAGTTCAAAAGGAACAAACTGATGATCCAAACGTAGAACAGAGGATGGCACTTCCGGTCCCAGAGGACCGCTGTCCAGCCTGTTTTACTTGTTTCCCTGCTCCAACACGCCCGCGTTGAGTCAGCAGGTTATTTGAACCTCCGCGGTTCGGGCGTCTGCTGATGGGTCAGCTGACTGGATGCTGACTCAGCACGCTACGAGTTATTTTAACGTCACTTCCTGTTTTAGTAGCGCTTCGGTTCGGATGAGTTGAGCTGGGAGTTTGTGCCATGTCCCGTCTGGATCAAGTGAAGCGGAGTCTGGAAGCAGCGGGACAGGCCCACGTCCTGCGGTTCTGGCCGGAGCTCGGTGAGGAGCAGCAGGAGGACTTCCTGGAGGAGCTGCTCCTGCTGGACCTGCAGCGGCTCAGGGAGCACTGCCAGGCGGCCGCGGAGGCAGCAGCCGCCCCGCCCTGCAGCCTGGACCGGGACATGGAGCCGGTACCGCCTGAGATAATCGGCAGCGTGAAGTGGAGCGACCCGAGCTCTCTGAGCCGGTGGGAGGATGAAGGTACGGAATCGGAACCAGACAAGTTCTGGTTTCTCTGAAGCTTTCCAGGTCAGTGGTGGAGAAACTGAAACTTTCCAAACCACTGAACCAATCTGTGAACCCAATAGAACCCATCATGACATCTGCTGCCAGACGTCAGCAGTCAGAACTCCTAGTCCAGTTGCCAGAAGCAGAAAAAGACGAACAGGCAAGACAACATGGACGAGCACGAGAGACAAACAACCATGTAAACAGGGACAAGAACAACACAAGTGTGTAAATAAAGCATTAATGATCGTAACTCCCTAATGCAACAGAGAAAAGACGGTTGCACCTGTGCTGCTCACCTGTTGCTCTGACAGATGCTGTTAGAGTTAAAACAGCTTGTAGTGTGCTCCCCTTCACATTTACAGTCTCGTCCATCTAGACCTCCTCAGTGTCAGATGCAACCTGCAGCATACTACATCTGCTATAGCTAGTCCCTAGGTGCAGCGGTGCACAACAAGGTGAGCTCTACTTTATCATGGGGCTGGGCGATATGGTCTAAAGTCAATATTACGATATATTTAGGACTTCACCTCGATAACTAAAAGTGGACGTAACTACAGGCATGCAGAAACAAAAGTCCACTAGATGGGGCTGTCACGTGTATTATGTTCATTGAGTCACTGGTGGAACAGCTTCTTAAAGCGACATGAATGTTGCTAACCTACACACAACTTTTCATTTTTTTATTATCAAATTTATTGATGTGGGAAAAATGATCCCGATAAGTGTCAGAAATTTCGATAATGATAAATTTTCTATTCATTTCCCAGCCCCACTTTATCAGAACAAGACCCAAACATACGAGTGAGTGTATTTCCCTGAGCTTATAACCTACGGCGCTGCCTACACATGTCATCATCATCTCTCATGTCCTCTGTGATGACATGATCAAGATACTTGACTTGGTGACACTAATCACAGTCTGACCGGTAAAAATCTGGAAACTACATTTGCTCGTCCTTGTTCCGGCAGATCATAACCACGCTTTTAGCTGCATGATAAATGTTGTGTTCTACTCCACAGAGCAGATATCTAGAAGCTGCTGTAGACCCGCGGTGCTGGACTGAGTCATCCGCATACATCAGATGATTTATGACACCACCACCAGCTGCAAAGCCAGTACATATAATATATGTGGCAATACATTTATGTCCATATCTGTCAGTTTCTGTCTTTAAAATCTTAATGTAGTTGTGTTACAGAGACATTGTCCCAGCAAACGGTACTATACAACAGCAAACGGTACTATACAACAGCAAACGATACTATACAACAGCAAACGATACTATACAACAGCAAACAGTACTATACAACAGCAAACGGTACTATACAACAGCAAACGATACTATACAACAGCAAACGATACTATACAACAGCAAACGGTACTATACAACAGCAAACGATACTATACAACAGCAAACGGTACTATACAACAGCAAACGATACTATACAACAGCAAACGGTTATATAAAACAGCAAAGGGTACTATACAACAGCAAACTGTATTATACAGCAAACGGTTATATACAACAGCAAACTGTACTATACAACAGCAAACGGTTATATACAACAGCAAAGGGTACTATACAACAGCAAACTGTACTATACAACAGCAAAGGGTACTTTACAACAGCAAACTGTACTATACAACAGCAAAGGGTACTATACAACAGCAAACTGTTATATACAACAGCAAAGGGTACTATACAACAGCAAACTGTACTATACAACAGCAAACTGTACTATACAACAGCAAACGGTACTATATAACAGCAAACTGTACTATACAACAGCAAAGGGTACTATACAACAGCAAACTGTACTATACAACAGCAAAGGGTACTATACAACAGCAAAGGGTACTATACAACAGCAAACTGTACTATACAACAGCAAAGGGTACTATACAACAGCAAAGGGTTATATACAACAGCAAACTGTACTATACAACAGCAAACTGTACTATACAACAGCAAACTGTACTATACAACAGCAAACGGTACTATATAACAGCAAACGGTACTATATAACAGCAAACTGTACTATACAACAGCAAACGGTACTATACAACAGCAAACGGTACTATACAACAGCAAACTGTACTATACAACAGCAAAGGGTTATATACAACAGCAAACTGTACTATACAACAGCAAACTGTACTATACAACAGCAAACTGTACTATACAACAGCAAACGGTTATATACAACAGCAAACTGTACTATACAACAGCAAACTGTAATATACAACAGCAAAGGGTACTATATAACAGCAAACTGTACTATACAACAGCAAACTGTACTATACAACAGCAAAGGGTACTATACAACAGCAAAGGGTACTATACAACAGCAAAGGGTACTATACAACAGCAAACGGTACTATACAACAGCAAACTGTACTATACAACAGCAAAGGGTACTATACGACAGCAAACAGTTCTACAGGGAGTGCAGAATTATTAGGCAAATGAGTATTTTGTCCACATCATCCTCTTCATGCATGATGTCTTACTCCAAGCTGTATAGGCTCGAAAGCCTACTACCAATTAAGCATATTAGGTGATGTGCATCTCTGTAATGAGAAGGGGTGTGGTCTAATGACATCAACACCCTATATCAGGTGTGCATAATTATTAGGCAACTTCCTTTCCTTTGGCAAAATGGGTCAAAAGAAGGACTTGACAGGCTCAGAAAGGTCAAAAATAGTGAGATATCTTGCAGAGGGATGCAGCAGTCTTAAAATTGCTAAGCTTCTGAAGCGTGATCATCAAACAATCAAGCGTTTCATTCAAAATAGTCAACAGGGTCGCAAGAAGCGTGCGGACAAACCAAGGCGCAAAATAACTGCCCATGAACTGAGAAAAGTCAAGCGTGCAGCTGCCAAGATGACACTTGCCACCAGTTTGGCCATATTTCAGAGCTGCAGCATCACTGGAGTGCCCAAAAGCACAAGGTGTGCAATACTCAGAGACATGGCCAAGGTAAGAAAGGCTGAAAGATGACCACCACTGAACAAGACACACAAGCTGAAACGTCAAGACTGGGCCAAGAAATATCTCAAGACTGATTTTTCTAAGGTTTCATGGACTGGTGAAATGAGAGTGAGTCCTGATGGGCCAGATGGATGGGCCCGTGGCTGGACTGGTAAAGGGCAGAGAGCTCCAGTCCGACTCAGACGCCAGCAAGGTGGAGGTGGAGTACTGGTTTGGGCTGGTATCATCAAAGATGAGCTTGTGGGGCCTTTTCGGGTTGAGGATGGAGTCAAGCTCAACTCCCAGTCCTACTGCCAGTTTCTGGAAGACACCTTCTTCAAGCAGTGGTACAGGAAGAAGTCTGCATCCTTCAAGGAAAACATGATTTTCATGCAGGACAATGCTCCATCACACGCGTCCAAGTACTCCACAGCGTGGCTGGCAAGAAAGGGTATAAAAGAAGAAAAACTAATGACATGGCCTCCTTGTTCACCTGATCTGATCCCCATTGAGAACCTGTGGTCCATCATCAAATGTGAGATTTGCAAGGAGGGAAAACGGTACACCTCTCTGAACAGTGTCTGGGAGGCTGTGGTTGCTGCTGCACGCAACGTTGATGGTGAACAGATCAAAACACTGACAGAATCCATGGATGGCAGGCTTTTGAGTGTCCTTGCAAAGAAAGGTGGCTGTATTGGTCGCTGATATGTTTTTGTATTGTTTTTGAATGTCAGAAATGTATATTTGTGAATGTGGAGATGTTATATTGGTTTCACTGGTAAAAATAAATAATTGAAATGGGTATATATTTGTTTTTTGTTAAGTTGCCTAATAATTATGCACAGTAATAGTCACCTGCACACACAGATATTCCCCTAAAATAGCTAAAACTAAAAACAAACTAAAAACTACTTCCAGAAACATTCAGCTTTGATATTAATGAGTTTTTTTGTTCTTTGAGAACATGGTTGTTGTTCAATAATAAAATTATTCCTCAAAAACACAACTTTAGTGTTGCAAGGTTAGCTAACGTTAGTGTTAGCATTTCCAGTGGCAAAACCCTCGACTGCTGCGGCGGTTGAGGGTTGACTCTCTTCATCCAGATCCGTAGGTTTTTGTGGGTCTGAGATCACTTCCAAACATTCATTCGTTTCTGACTGAACCCGTGGAAATGTGGGCAACAAAAACCGATCAATTTTACCACTAGCTCTACCTTTCACTCGTTCACAGGTGGAAAATGGGGTCAATGGTTAACATCAATTTCCTGTTTTGGTTTAAGTTTTTTACTATCTATATGGTAATTTACTGATAATTTTTGTTTTGTATGTTAAATATTATCACATCCAAACGTTAAATTAAAATTAAATTGTAAAAAAAAAAATCAAATATTTACTTGGGGATGCTATGACTAATCCAGGGGTAGCTACAGTATATCGCCCCCCTGGCGCCACCACGGGTAATTAGTATATTATCAATACTGCAATTAGTATATTATCAATACTGCAATTAGTATATTATCAATACTGTCATTAATATATAATCAATACTGTAATTGGTATATTATCAGTACTGTAATTATTATATAATCAATACTGTAATTAATTCAATATCAATACTGTAATTAACATATAATCAATACTGTAATGAATACATTATCAATACTGTAATTAACATATAATCAATACTGTAATGAATACATTATCAATACTGTAATGAATACATTATCAATACTGTAATTAACATATAATCAATACTGTAATGAATACATTATCAATACTGTAATGAATACATTATCAATACTGTAATTAACATATAATCAATACTGTAATTAACATATAATCAATACTGTAATGAATACATTATCAATACTGCAATTAACATATAATCAATACTGTAATTAACATATAATCAATACTGTAATGAATACATTATCAATACTGTAATGAATACATTATCAATACTGTAATTAACATATAATCAATACTGTAATTAACATAT